GCTAAAGGTACGAGACTGACATCAAGATCTCATCAAATTACAATTGAGCTGGCTAGATGTGACGGTAACTTCTATGCGAACAGTTTTTTTTTCTCTCGCACTTCTCGCTTGTGGAATTCCCTTCTGGCTTCATTTTTTCCTGCGAACTTTAATCTGCAAAAATTTAAATGTAATGTCAATCGCTATCTTCTGTCCTTGTCTGATTATTCTTTCTGTGTTCTCCCTCCTAAGCAATGTTCCTGTTTCTAACTCTTACACGCCCAGTAACCCTTGCATCTTAGTGGCTTTATAGCCTTGCTTGAGACGAATTCCATTAAAAAAATGACAGAGAAGCGGAAAAATAAATATCACCCTGCTACGTGGCTAAGATAGTTGCATAATTTCGTATGATTTCGTTTGAGTGCTGAAAATCGGGATTAAAATGTTAAATTTAAAAGCAATCAAGATTCTTTCATTTGTAGAATGAGTAAATATCATTATTCGGAATGCTATCCTAATCTTTATTGTTATTATCCCAAAATTCCGGTTGCTTTATTCTTCGGCCTTCAGTTTTATGTCGATTAAAGATACCTTCAGGGAATTTCGATTTCAACACTTATCCTCATTTAAGGATACATAATTTTTTCTTCATTCCAGGTTAATTCTAGTTATTAACCTTGCATAACCTAGTCTATTACAAAGGCCTAATAATGGGGCACTTATTGAGGATCTAATTCACCTCACCAACGCTTACAATGGCGAGATGAAATTGTGACCCGAAAATCTAGCTTGGATTATGGATATATTTTGCAAAAGAATAAACAACGTAGCAAGTCTATCGGTGAATGGATCTTTGATTAATTAATGCGTTTTTTACGGCTTATCAACGCTTTTTGTCTTAAAGATGAAACAGTTTTTTGTCTTAAAGGTGACAAAAATTTGCATTGGAAGATATTTTCTTTTTTACGGCTTATCAACCCCTTTTTTACGGCTTATCAACCCTTTTTGTCTTAAACGTGAAACACACTCTTTTGTTTTAAATGTGAAACACATTTTGGATTGGAAGATTTTTTTTTAAGAGTGTATATTGTCTTAATGACTTTTTGAAGGTAAAAATGATTTTCCAGATACTAGTCCAACTATTTAATCCATAGCTGAGGGGTCAGATATATTGACACCTTTCCCGAGGGTATTTGTGCGTAAATGAATATAATGAACCCATTTGAAATTGGAAATCGGTTATCCCATTTCTCATTGCTAGTCCCTGTCCATCGATTGGTGCGATTTTGTTGTTTACGAGTGAGCAAAAGGGAAAGAAAATACGAGGTGGTAGTGAAAATTTCTCTGTGCAACTAATTTCCCTAAATCAGTATTTTCATGACCAAGCAGAAAAGTGGGGTGGAGAAAAATGAAATAAACTTAACAAACAAAAATATTAAATATTCTGAACTTAATGTGTGATAAACATTTTACAGTTCCAGGTCTTTCTTCTTGGCTGGGCACCTCTTCATATTTTTTTTCCTTCAATAAGAAGACAGAGTGAGAAAAAGAAAGAAAAGGATGTGAAAGAAAGAAAGAAAGAAAGAAAGAAAGAAAGAAAGAAAAAGAAAGAAAGAAAGGAACAACGAAAGAAGAATTGAAGATAAAAGATAAAACGAGAAGGAGAAAAAAAGAAAAAAAATCAAAAGAAAAGAGAAGGAAGGAAAAAGAGAAAATATAAAATAATAAAAAGAAAATGAATAAAAAAAAGAAAGAAGGAAGAATTTTGTCGATGAATGGAAAAAAGAGAAAGACTAAAAATGTAAAGGAAAGAAAAGAAAGAAAGAAAAAATCTGAGAAAAGGTAACATTAGAAAGAGAAAGAAAAAGGCAATGAAGAATGAAACCAGCAAAGAACTAAGAAAAAAATAGTAAAATGAAAGAGAGAGAGAGAGAGAAAGAGAAAAGAGAAGAAAAAAAATAAATAGAAATAGAGATATAGAAAGAGATTGAGAAAGAAATAGAGAGAGAAAATAAAAGAAATAAATAAAGTGGGAGAAGAAAATAGACAAAGAGAGAAGAAAAAATAAAGAGATGGAAACAAAAAGAGAAACAGAGAGCGATAAATAGGAAAGAAAGATATATATATATATATATATATATATATATATATATATATATATATATATATATATATATATATATTATAAATTAATTTATTTAAAATATGGTTTTATAAATCAATTAATGTATAATATTAATGCTCTGTAAATTTACATTAAGCACTATTTTGTAAAAATAAGAATATATCTATAAGAACACCGGATTATATATCTTACTGTTTTTCTTTCTTTATATATATATATATATATATATATATATATATATATAGAGAGAGAGAGAGAGAGAGAGAGGATAGAAAAACGAGGATGAGAAAAAAGCAAAAAAAATCTTGAGGAAAGAAAAAATTAATAAAAATGAAGAAGAAGAAGAAGAAGATACAGGTAAAGTATGGTGCGATTGTTTTTGCTTAGCCGCATATTAACACCTATATGGGTCATTTTCTGCCGAAATCTAAATATGGAAATTCAAACTTTATAATTAATTCCAGAGAATATTTTTTCCATGATTAAATTATAATTACTTAGCTGCATTTTTTTTTTTTTTTTTTACAATATAATCTTTCACAATCAAATGAGAAGTGAAGACTTGTTTCTCTTTACAAGATACGAACTCAAGGCTGGACAATCTTCTCACAGTAGACTTGAGACAACATAAATTTGGTTCTGCAAGAGGATGCTGAGGATATCAGAACCGAACATGTAAGCAACGACGGAGATTTAGAGAAAATGGAAACAAAAAGGAAATTTATACTTAACATCGGGAAGAGACAGTTGAGGTTTCTAGGGTACATAGTGAGGAAAGAGGGTTTGGAAATTTTGATACTCAGAGGACAGTTTGAAGGCAAGAGGGCAGAGGAAAGCAACTGATAACCTACTTAGTGGGCTTGAATAAATGGACTGCGAAACAAGGTCTAGGAGATATAACAAAAAGAGAACATTTATTAAGAGCTACGAAAGACAGGAAATTGTGGAGAGCCATGATCGGTTACGTTCTGGAGAGACACGGCACAAAGAATAATAATAATAATAAGAAGAAGAAGAAGAAGAAGAAGAGGACGGTGTCATGTCTTCAATTTTACTTTAAAATGTATTGTTAGTCATTTTACTATAAAAATGTATTGGTATATTTATATAAAAATGTATTGCTGATGTTTTTACTATAAAATGTACTTTCCTCGTGACTTGGTTTTTCTTTGGATGTTCATAGGTGGAAACCTAACAGGTGCTACCACGTCGTCTCAGCGTGCTCCTGGGAACAACAGCTGTTAAGAGGTGGCTTCACGCTCCACAAAGACTCCAATCTCCCGATCAGAAGCTTTGCTACCGGATGTAGTTCATCGTCGTACCCAGGGTTATATAAAAAGAAAGAGAAGAAAAAACAGTAACGGATCAAAATGAGAGAAGGAACAAAGAAAAAGAATGAGAAATTCAAAAGGAAAAAAAAAAAGAAAAAAACCAACACATTTGAAAGAAATCAGTGAAAAGGAAGGAACAAATCAATATGGAAGGTTAAAGCGGACCCCCCCACAAAAAAAAAACAGGAAGAGAGATAAAGGAAACGAGGTCAAAGGTTAAAGAGAAAGTAAATGCAAACGACTTTATTTTAACGCAGTCGTCTGTAAATAAATATTTGGTAAAGTTTGCTCTTTCAATATAAACTATTTTTATCCACGTCAGGTACAAGAATACGATATTAGAGCACCTTGTATGAGCAGAAATTTATAGATATATAAATTACTCTTTGATTACACGTGTCCTTTGGATATATAGTAATCAATCCTCATCGGGTACAAAACTGTCTCGGTTACAACAGAAATTCAGTCATGTGATCGGTAAAATGATCCTTTTTCATAGTAATCATTTTGAAACGTGCTCTTCGAATATATAATAATCTCATCCTCGTCAGGCACAAGGCTATGATATTAGGGCACCAGGTAAGAACAGAAGTTTATAGATGTGACCGCTAAAACGAATTTGTTTTATGACAGTCGTCCAAGTTTATATATCGTAATTTTTGGTAAAACGTACCCTTTGAATATATACTAAATTTATCTTAGTCGGGCAAAAGGCTATGGTAATAGAGCATTCATCTAGAATAGAAATTTATAAAAGTGACCTCTGAATTGATGATGTTAACATTTGCTCTACGTCAGGCGCCTATCATTTTATATAAATAAATCTTCGAGAGCACTTCCTATCGAATATATTATTTATCCCCAGTAGAAGAAAAGGCGGCAATAATTGAACCTCAACTGAATTTTTTGTATGACCGCTAAAAGGAGATTGATTTATCTCTGTCACATACTTTCTATAATTTCCTCAGTGTATTGGAGTATTTGTCCCGACTCGCAAGCTGTCCATAGTAAGTATCGTGGTTGAATAACAAATCATTATTTCCGTTTTACCTGTTTTCCTGAAAAGGGTAGATAAAAAAATAAATAAAATAAAATAAAACTGTGAAAATTGCTTGAATCAAAGAATCATTACTTCCCAATACACGATCCCCTGAAGCGGCTAACCGGGTCAAATAGCATGAACGACCCGGAGAATTCTAGAAAAGAAGAGAAAGATGAAGCCAGGAAATTGACAGCCAAACAGATAAAATGGACCACGCAAAATCCTATCTGAGCGAATCGTGCTTCATTGCTTTAGCTTAACCACAAGTTTTCCCTGATCAAGATGTTAATTCTCCTGGTAATAATCTTGCATCCACTTCGATCAGATGGGAACTGATAGCTTTGGGTTTTTATTTTCCTTATTTTTTTTTTTCTCATTTTGTAATTTTTTTTTCTATTCTACATTAGGGCGCTGTTTACTGATCCGAAATCTTATTGCAAGAAAGCTTCGTAACTACATCGCTGCCGCTACTTTGGGCAGAATAATGCCAAATAATGAGGAAAATAGTCAGGTGCGAGATAGATCAGAGGAAATATCCACCAAGTAATGAATAGCCGCGGGAAGCTGCAAAAAAAATGGCGGATGATACTGTAGAAGTAGAAGAAGAAGATAGTGAAGAAAAAGAAGATATTGAAGAAGAAGAAGAAGAAGAAGAAGAAGAAGAAGAAGAAGAAGAGGTGGATGTGGAGGAGAAGGAGGCTGGGGACGAGAGGAAGAAGAATGCAGAAGAAGAAGAAGAAGAAAAAGACAAGAAAGAAGAAGAAAAATATATTGAAGTCGAAGAAGAAAAAGGTGGAGAAGGAGGAAGAGGAGGAGGGACAAGAGAAGAAGAAGAAGGCGGAATATATTGACAAAGAAGAAGAAGAAGAAGAAGAAGAAGAAGAAGAAGGCGAAAGATATTGAAGAAGTAGGAGAAGATGAAGAAGGAAGACGGGAAGAAGGAGATGATATTCAAGAAGATATTGCAGAAGAAGAAGAAGAAGAAGAAGGAGGAACAGGAGTTAGACGAAGGAGGAAAAGGATGAGATGAAGATGATATTGAAGAAAACGGAGGAGAAAGAGGAGGAGGTGAAGAAGAAGGCGAAAGGTGATAATAAAAGGGAAGAGCAGGTGGAGAAGAAAACGACAACGACGACGACGACGAAGAAGAAGTAGAAGAAGAAGAAGAAGAAGAAGAAGAAGAAGAAGAAGAAGAAGAAGAAGGTGTCATGTCTTCAATTTTACTATAAAATGTATTGTTAGCCATATTGCTATAAAAATGTATTGGTATTTTTTATATAAAAATGTATTGCTGATATATTTTACTATAAAGTACCTTTGTACTTTCCTCGGGACTTGGTTTTTCTTTGGATGTTCATAGTTTCAGTTAAAATGAAACTAAGGAAACCTTACAAAAGAATAAAAACAAATAACATAGAAAAAAGGAGAATAATGTTTGATAAGCGCATTACATTTACAATAACTTGGTAGAATGAATATACATACATACATACATACATACATACATATATATATATATATATATATATATATATATATGAAAGTGAACATTGAATCAACACTTAGAGGCGACAGTATATATATATATATATATATATATATATATATATATATATATATATATATATATATATATATAAAAGATTTTATATACCAACGGATTTATTCCCTTTAATATATATAAAAGATATAAAGTTGGGTCGCTTGTAGAACTTGTAGCACACTATATCCACCAATCCTTTATACGAATTTCTACTGAAATGTGTGGCTGGTTCTGCGTAATCCTTCATCACTGTAATAAAATCTTATGAGTGGATATTTATATGCATATATATGTATGTAAGTATGTATGTATGGGCGCTTAGCCGATTGGTTAGAACGTTCGAATCTCACGATGGTCAGAAAGACAAATGGATAGTGAGTGAAATTGACGGCACAGCTAGCTCGAAGCCACAAATCATTGTGGCTGAGGGATTGAGTGTGCGTGCTTGTTCAAATTGCAGTATAAACCACAGGTGGGCTCTGTGGGGGTTTAGCAAACACAAATGTGCTTGAGCGAGAGTCTGCAATAGGGATTGGCTAGCCGCCCCAATAAACGGGTATCCTCGAATACGAGTGGCCAGCTATTTATTATTATTATTATTATTATTATTATTATTATTATTATGTATATTACTTCAAACGTTATTTTTAGTGGATACCTGTATTTGACTATAAGTAGGATCTACTCAAATACGGTTTTATTTTAACTCCGGCACATTTTCTTTGTGAAGTTTTCTCGTATACACACATATATAGACAAAATAAATAATGTTTCAAATAAAAGGGTGTCTAGTTAAATCCAGATATGCATTAAAAATAACATAATAAAAATATATTGGATTAAAACATCATAAAATCAATCAATTTTATATATATATATATATATATATATATATATATATATATATATATATATATATATATATAAAAGATCAGGTGTCAGTTTCAGGCTCAGTATCATCTCGAGGCACGGGGGACTGGTGGTAGTTCGGAGATAGATAGATAGATAGATAGATAATAGATAGATAGAAAGTTAATCCGTATAATATATGGGTGTTTTTTGGATAGTATTCAATAAGTTTTATCCAGGAGCCCCATATATATATATATATATATATATATATATATATATATAATATGAAAAAATTTTATCAGATAAAGTGCTCAATATCAGAGATAGAGGCGTGTGTAAATATGAAAGTGAACATAGAAGTCAACACTTAGGGGCTCTAAAGTGTTGACTTCTATATCCACTTATATATATATATATAGGCTCCTGAAAAATTTATTCCAGTTGAGCTCTCTGGAAAAGAAAGTGTGGGTTTGTAAACAGTGACTATTACGTCTATTATAGCAAGACTCTTCGGCAAGCGAATCGAGTCCTCTCAGTAACTGTGTGTTTACCTAATATATATATATATATATATATACGCTAAAATTGACTTTCACCCCTGACGTGCGCCGACGTCTTAGTGGTAGAATCCTGACGCCAGGTTTCGATCCTAGGTAGAGGAAAACGGACGTCTAGCCACACTGAAGAGCGATGATACAGTCTGTCTGTGAATGACGACATATATATATATATATATATATATATATATAAAGATATATTGTTACATATAACAGCCAATGTATGTCTATTATGTTTGATCATAAGCCGTTCTGAACTCCGTATATTTGCTTTAATTTCGAGTTAAAAAAAAGATAAAAATTGTCCAACATTTGGATATTTTTTTATAAAGTTTGTCTTTTCGGCTCACATGAGCCATCTTCAAATTTGTCATACGGATATTGAAACAAAGATATTCACCATCAAATATAATATTCTGTTATGTTGACATAGAAGATTGCTATGCGACGATAATGGTCGCGGAATAGCAGATGTAAGTCGTAAATAACCACTCTGAAGATGGCTTATGTTAGCCAAAACCTTAAATCAAGGAAAAGCTTAATAAAAAATATCCAAATGTTGGACAATTTTTATCTTTATTTTCTCCCGAAATTAAAGCAAATATACCCGTAAAACGGTTCATGATCAAAGATAATAGACATCCATTGTCTGTTACATTTAACAATATATGTTTAAATAATGATCTGCTGCCCCAGTACACACACACACACACACACACACACACACACACACACACACACACACACACACACACACACACACACACTCTCTCTCTCTCTCTTTCTCTCTCTCTCTCTATCTATCTATCTATCTATATATATATATATATTGTCGGTTGAAATTTATTAAATCATTCACTTAAATTTTTTCTTTTTAGGAAAATAGATTTTTCAACACCATTGGCTGTTATCACTCTTTCCGTTATTGATGAGGGATCCCTTCGTAAACTTCGTTCTGTTTTCCGACGATGAAATCCATCCGGCAGCAAGGCTTCTGACTTGGAGGTTTTGAAAAGCGTGGAACGACCTCTTAATTGCTGTTTCTTCCAGGTCCACCCTGACCCGTGGTGGTAGTACCTTTTAGGGTCCTAGCCATGGGCAAATAGTGAATCCCGAAAATGGGCTCAAAGCATTATGAAAGTGTAAAAATATATTTTTGTGTTGGGAATACCAGTGATATATTTTCATAGTAAAAATATATATCATTGGAAAAGGAACAGAAAAGTTACCAAATCTCCCAAGAACATTAAATTTCGGCATTAAATGACCCATGATAATTTGATGTGCCGTTAAACAAACCAAACCTTCCTAATCTTCCGTTTAAAGTAGCGTAGAAAGTCAACATTTTGATTACGCCATTATTTTCTTTTCTAGATTCTATGCTTAGTATATTTTTTATCCCGTATCTCGTAGGGGGCGTAGGGACACCATGCATACTACAACCTCAGTAGGAGTGGTGTTTCTTGGGCAAGATACCCTGACGGAGCTTAACTCGATCCAGAGTTTTTCCTTCTCCTAGACCGGTTGCCACCCAAAGCCCAGTCTGTCCTGGAGGGAGAAGAAGAGGATTCATACCTTTTCCAGTGGTATTAGCACGTACGTGAATGTAATGGATCCGACTGGAATTCGAACTCTGCTCTCCGATTCCTCAGTCCACCGGGCCTCCTTAGTATGACTAAATATCACTTCAGATCTCAAGTGGAAGATGACGAAAGAGTCGGCTTATTCTACTGGCCCAGAAAGTCTCTGATTCCTTCTGCCATTCTTTATTTTTACAAGAGTCACATTAGACCAAAAATAGATTATTGCAGCCATATCTGGACTGACGCCATTTTGTCTTGGGAGCGTGACGTATTTTCCACTCTACATCCACTTTCCACGCATGGTTACAAAACTATCGTTACTCTTTCGCTAATTCCACAGTAAATATTCAGATGAGCTCTATTCTTTAGTTTCACTAGTTCAGATAATTGCTGCTAAAATAATCTATACCCCGACCACGGTGTTGAACCGCTCACATTTCTTCGTCTGGCAATTGTAAGGAGGAAGTCTACTCAGAGATTTTTTTCCAATAATTGCTACTTTATGTAACAGACTCCCGCGTGGTTGCTTTCCTGAATAATAATGTCTTTGAATCGATGGTCAATCGTTATTGACCCTCCATTACCCACTCAATCTTTATTTCCTTCTACTTTCTCCTAGATTCAGGTCACACAACTCATACAGTAAGCCTCTATCTTGAGTTATTCTTGAGACTTATACGGGTTAAACTCGAGTAAAACATGTTCCTATTATTCCCCTTTAATATTCATGATATGTCAGCAACGAAATATTTTTCAAGTATCTAGTACTGAAATAAAGCTTAGGGAAAATTAAATTCATGCCTTTTCATACGTGCTAAACGAACATAAGAAAATTTAGCCGTTTGCCGATTCTGTTTTCCTTGGTAATAACCTTAACCCTGGCCACGTCCTTCTGCATGCACGGAAAAACAGATTTGAACGCCTGACTGATAGTAAGGGACTTTGAAACTCTAAATACATTCAGGGCATTGGTTCATTCTCGGATATACGTTCCAGAAAATCATTTGATGCCTGAATATTAGTCGAGCCTCGTTTCATCACTTGAGCCCCAACACAGAATTAATTTGTCAACCTATTTTCAAGATTACTTGACCGAAAAAACAATTGGTCCCGACCGCGCATGTGTAGAAGTACCCGGAGGTAGAACTCTTTAATTCAAGACATGTCAAGTTAAAAAGAATTCCGCCTTAACAAGGCCGGGTTGGATAATATCGACTATTTCCCCCTCCCCCCACCCGCCCAGAAACCTTAACAGAATATACATCGCTTTTTGTCCTTCTCAGATCAAGCGCTCTGACGTTGGTGATAAAAAATGTCAAAATTATTTGTGAGCAACCAGGCAGCAAGAAAACCAAACGATGCGTGCAATGAAAATAATGCAAGTTGTATGGCGCAGGAGGGGGAGAGTTCTGGCTAACAGTTTTGAAGAATCATTAGCTTGAAGGGCACTCATGTAATGGTGATCATATATGTTCAAAATATAGCTTATGAATGTAATATGGAACAAACACGGGCAGAGTTCATATAATATATGTAATATAAACGATATGTTTGCGATAACAAGATGACATAAGCAATATAATCTGACGTATCTAATATACAACACATTATTGGAATATGGAAGTGAGACGACTATAGGAGGTTTTTTACTTCTACCGGAATTTTATGGATAGAG